CGCTCTAGAAGGAACAACTAATCCACAGTGGAAACTCCAAAGATGCAGGAAGAAAGGGTTCAACCAGAAAGGAAACAAGGAATCTTTTTGGGGTAATGGAAATAGTCTGTACTTTAATAGGGGTGGGAATTACAAAGGTATATATACTTGTCAACAGTATTCAAATTGTTCATTTAATACCTACGTATTTCCTTGTAAAAGCTATACCTGAATTAAAATATGTTCAAAACAATCACTAAAACAATTGGGTCCAAAATAGTTCATTCATAAGGAATCACGTATATTCCTTTTGAAAAGAGAGTAAAATAAAACAAATCAAAACAAACAAACAAACAAAAAACATGGGGTAATTCTAATTCCAGAATTCTGTAGCCTTTAGCGAAAGAAAGGAGGGGTGGGAGACATCTGTGGTAATTTGCTCAAATAACAGATACTGTTATCTCCTCTATGTAACAAAAACATGTCGTATAATGTCTGAAAGAACTCTGAGAGAAGGGAGTTACAAATGCTGGTAAGAAAAAAAAAAAAGAGCATAATATATTGATAACAAATAAAGAGCAGTTAAAATGTCTTTTAGTGCACCAGTTTATAAATTGACCTGGATACTCAAGTATGCTATGTCAGATGGAAGGTTGTCAACCCTTACTCATCAATTTATATAAAACCCTAATATGCACATAGACCAAATGGCGTAACAACCTAACAACCAGTCGCTATGCCGTGCGCTGAACACCCGTGGCGGGCATTAGCCACAGCGGATGGAGGAGCATGTGAGAAGGGGCGCCAGACCAAGGTGGGGCACCAGTTGTTGTCATCAGGGTGAGCCTCTGGTGGTTACTGAAAATTCTTTGCTCCCACGCACCACAGTCCCACACGGCGCTCACACCTGCTCCTGACACTGAAGCTGCCGCTCACACCCGCTGCCGGCACCCAGCACCCATCCTGATTGCTCGGCACCGTCAGCAGGTGCAAGCGGTGGCTACCAGCCCCAAACGTCCCTGAGGGCTTCTCCACCTCTCCCTGCTCCTGAAGGGCGATTGGGGCAGCAGCCACCACTGGCACCCACTGACAGCACCAGCTCCGCTCAAACCCACAGCTGGTGCAGGCCCCAATCACTCTGCACCGTCAGCAAGTACGCGTGGGAGTGGCAGAGGCAGGAGCGGGGCTGCCAGCAGACAGGGGACCGGTCGGAAACCGCTCTGCTACCAAATGCCACCATCAAGCCATCTCTCCAGACACCCTTCCACGCCCTCCTTCTCCACCTCTGACCCAAAGGCCTACTTCTGTGCTCCTCCCACCAGACCTGGACCACACGCCTTATTACCTTGAGGCTTCCAGGTCTTGATAGGAACTGAGCGCTCGGTAGAACCTACACTGAACTTTTGCTAAAATGCAGAATCTGTCTTGCCAACTCCAAGTGTCTTGAAGTTTTATTACAGAAAAAAAGACACGTTTAACTTGTGGACAGTGACTCTCAAATTCTCGTCCATGCTAGCGGGGGGGCTCCACGGAACCGGGGAACCAGGGGTGTTCGCAGTGGACATGGGCAGCGCCAGGCCAGCCAAGGCAGGTGCAGGTGGGGGCCGGGGCTGCAAAGCCAAGGCTGCGAAGCCGGCAGCCAGGGGAAGGTAGGCCACCGGCCAGCGGGGCGATCAATCAGAGGGCTCCACAATTACCCCAAAGAGGGAGGCCCAGGCCACCCTCTGCACGGCGATCGATCGGGGGGGCTCCACGGAACCGGGGAACCAGGGGTGTTCGCAGTGGACATGGGCAGCGCCAGGCCAAGGCAGGTGCAGGTGGGGGCCGGGGCTGCAAAGCCAAGGCTGCGAAGCCGGCAGCCAGGGGAAGGAAGGCCTATTCTTGCACAAATTTCATACATCAGGCCTCTAGTTACAAAATAATTTCAATGTTCTCATAGCCAAAAGAAGGTTCAAAGTGATCACAATTCAATAATTTAATTTACTAAAATAGAAGGGGAAAGGAAGAAATTGGAAATACACAGACGTAATTGACCAAGTACTTCAGAAGCAAATGCAAGATAAAATACAAGAAAATTTCATTAAGGTAGTATAGTCTTATAGGACATAAGTATAAAAAAGCATCTCATCTACTGTAAATATAGCTAAACTAAAAAGAATGAGCTGAATATTTTCAGTCCACATCTGCATGCCTCTATGCTTTCACTCATTTTCCCCCAAATACTAGTGCCACTCGAATTCAAGACTTTTTTAATTCAAATTATTTAAAACTATAAAACTACTTTGTATCTCATTAAATATTTATTAACATTATTAAAAACGTAATACCTTATGGTTTAATTAATTCTAGTCATCAAAGAGGATGTTTTGCAAAATAAACACAGTCCTACACTAAATCAACAAAAAAGAAAAAATGTTTTCTTACCACTTTTACAACATAGGATGCATCACTGCCCACCGATTTTGAAGAATTCTTATCAGCTGTTTGAAAAAAGTGATATATGTAGTATCAAAACAAGAAGTAGCATTATGATACATAGCCTATTACTTTTTATTAACAGTTAGGTCTGTATTATCTATATTCCTTTGATAGAATAAATTTCAGTTTCCAAATACGCAGTGTTTCAGCATATCAATACAGTGTATATCATCAACTTTAAGACTATTTTTAATGTTTTAACATGTCAAACTGGAATGTATCTTATAATGGCTGGTATCTTCAATATGATCATCTATTAAGTATGAAAAACTCTAAGTTAAACTTTTAACTTGAAAGTATGCATGGTCTTTGATATGCTAACATACGTTGAGAATTCCCAAGATAATATCTGATGCAATTTCTTACATTTAATAAAGCAAGTGGTTAGAGTGTCAGCCTGTGCACCGAAGGGTAGGCTGCATGTTCAATTCCTGGTCAAAGGCATGTACCTGGGTTGCAGATTCGATCCCCAGCCCGGGTTGGGGCATGTGCAGGAGGCAACCAATCGATGTATCTCTCTCACATCGATGTTTCTCTCTCTCTCCTCCCCCCGCTTTCCCTCCTTCCCTACCATCTCTCTAAAAATCAATGGAAAAAATATCCTTGGTGAGGCTTCACACAACAACAAAAGTAAATGTATATACATATAAATTATGTTTGATGGTGATAAGTGCTATAAGCAGGAAAGAAAGGCAGGCAGTGCTGCGAGATAGTAAGAGAAACCTCACCGACAGGGTGTCACTGGAGCAGTGGTCTGAACACAATGAGCGAATGAGCCATGGAAATGTCAGGGTGAAACCATTCCAGGCCAACCGGCACCTGGCCCTGATGTGGGAGCCCTTGAGATGTCGGAGGAAAGTAGAAAGGCCAAAGTAGCCAGAGAAGAGTGACTGAGTGGAAAGCAGCAGAACACACACAATGCACTTCATTGGTGACATAAAGCTGTCCCTCTATGAATGAGCTGGAAAGCCACTGGGAGTTTGGGGAAGAGGACTGGCAAGGTCAGACTCTGCCTTCTAAAGAATCCTTCAGGGTGCTTGTGGAGAATGGAGAGTAGAGGGCACGGAGCTCAGGACTCGGGTGAGGGATGGCGGTGCCTGAACCTGAGTGGCAGCAGACAAGGTGGTGAGAAGTGGTCAGACTGTGGACATATTTTCAAAGAAGAGCCACAGGCTTTGTGGGTGAACTGGATATGGAGTTCAGTGGGAGAAAGGAGGAAGGATAACTCCTGGCTTTTGGCCTGAGCAACTGGGAAGGGGAAGCTGCTACTTCCTAAGACGGAGAAGACTGCAGGAGAGCTGGTGGGTGGGGTGTCTCAGTTTGAGATGCTTATTCAAGGTCGGATGTTAAACAGGCAGTGGGTATACGGGGTAGGGTAACAGTAGGTTTACCCTGCTTGTATAGAAAATAATACAATAATTGCCCTGGCCGGCTTGGCTCAGTGGATAGAGCATCGGCCTGCGGACTGAGGGGTCTCAGGTTCGATTCTGGCCAAGGGCACATGCCTGGGTTGCGGGCTCCATCCCCAGTGGGGGTGTGCAGGAGGCAGCCGGTCAGTGATTCTCTCTCATCATTGATGTTTCTATCTCTCTCCTTCTCCCTTCCTCTCTGAAACCAATAAAGAAATTTAAAAAATAATAATAATAATACAATAATTAATAAATGATAATACAAGAATAAACTGTTTCACATACTCATTGTAAACCTACTTTGGCTCCACCCTGTACAAGTCTTAGTTTCAGAAGAGTGACACAAGTTAAAAATAAATGAGTCATCAACCTAAGTCATCAATCTACTCACTCCAAGCCCATGAAGCTGGAAGAGCTCCCCAGGAAATGAGTGTAGAGAGGAAAGAAGAAATCCTAGGACTGAACCCTAAGGCATTCTCACGTCAGCAGGTGAAGAGATAGGAGGGACAGGCAAGGTGAAACCAAGAAACTCCAACCAGCTGGGAAGCAGCAAGAATACTTCCGTCTAAAGAAGAAACACAAAGTCATAAAACTGGCTAATGAGTAGAAGGAATAGCCAAGGAACATCGCTTAATACTGAATTAGTAACACAGCAGTCAGATTTTAGCAGTTAGTATACAAAATATTAAAATGAAGCTAGTACACTAATAATACCGTACAGTTCAAATGAAGAAAAAGGGGAAAAGAAGCCCAATAAGCCCTGGCTGCTTTGGCTCAGTGGACAGAGCATCGGCCTGCGGACTGAAGGGTCCTAGGTTCGATTCCAGTCAGGGACACATGCCTAGGTTGTGAGCTCGGTCCCCAGTAGGGGGCGTGCAGGAGGCAGCCAATCGGTGATTCTCTCTCATCATTGATGTTTCTCTCTCTCTCTATCCCTCTCCCTTCCTCTCTGAAATCAATAAAAATATCTTTAAAAAAAAAAAAGAAGCTCAATAATTCATTCCAACAATATGTACTGCAAAATATGCTAGGCACTGAGAACACCATAAGAGCTGTCCATCGTCAAGAAGCACATGTATAACCCTGGGTGGTGTGCTACGTGGTTAGAGCACCATCCCACGCACAAAAGAATCGTGGGTGCAATTCCTGGGTCAAGGGCATGTAAAGGGTTGCAGGTTTGATCCCTACCAATCCATGTGTCTCTCTCACATTGATATCTCTCCCCCCGACCCCACAACGCTCTCTCTCTCTAAAAAAAAGAAAAAAATATCCTCAGGTGAGGATTAACAAAACAACAGAAAGCTTATGTTTATTCTGGAAGGAGGAAAAGTAATTTCCACACAGCATGGATGTACTATGAGGATGAACACAGGACACAGGGGGACCATAAAAAGACAGCTTACCCTGAACTCAGCTTTGGAAAATCTAAACAAAAGACACATCACATACAAAAACCAAGAGGCAAAAGGCAACATTATAGCTGAAACATAGCTTTTGGGGATAAGAGGGATGAAGAAAGTTACTTTGGAACCAGACTGTATGAAGGGTCTTGTATGCCATTCCAAAACTTTGTCGTTTATCCAAGGGCACCAGGGAGACATTAAAAAAACGTTTAAATGGAAGGTCCTATGATCTGATTAGCGGTCTGGGTCACTTAAGCCCCAATGTGAACAAGGAGATGCAAGGGGACAAGACTGAGCAGAGGATTCACTGCTACAGTGAGAATCCAGACGAGACATGGAAATGACCTCCACTAATGAGGTAGAGGCAGCAAAGGTAGAGAGAAATGAAGGGATCTGAGGAGTCACTCAGGTAAAGCGACAGAACTAGATGAGGTACTAGGGGTGTTAGTGAAGGAACACTTGAGAATGTCTGCCTCAATGTTATTCATGTGGATAATCCTCTCCTGTGGGACATCGGGTCCCTTTGTAGGCCACTGGCGACGGGCCTGCACTGTCAGGGTCAAGTCCTAGGCTATAGAGAAAAGCTTTTGAGAAGAGGACTGGCAAGATCAGACTCTGATTTGGTAATCAACAGTAAAGAGACAGTCAGAGAAACCGGGAGACTGGAGGACATCCCTCAGACAGAATATGCAGAAGAAAGGTGAGCCACAGCCCTAGCCGCTTCGGCTCAGTGGATAGAGCGTTGGCTTGCAGACTGAAGAGACCCGAGTTCAATTCCAGCCAAGGGCACATGCTTGGGTTGCGGGCTCTATCCCCAGTAGGGAGTGTGCAGGAGGCAGCCGATCAATGATTTCCTCTCATCATTGATGTTTCTCTCTCTCCCCCTCTCCCTTCCTCTCTGAAATCAATAAAAAGAAAAAGAAAAAAACATTACAAAAAGAAAGGTGAGCTGAAGAAGGAAAGCTGAAGATGACTAAGCACATTGAGAGGGAGGAGGAAGGCCAGAGGGGAAGGTACTCGTCATGAAGACGATGGAAGCAATTTCTATTTGTAAAAGATAAACAGTATCAAGTCCTGCAGAAAACACCCAAAGAAAATGCAAAAGCAACTTGTTTAACTCATGAGCAGAAACTGCTGATGATCTTCGGTAGGGCAGTTATGGAGAGGTAAGCTGGAGGCAGCATTAAGGCAAACCCTCCTCCAGAGTGATCAATCCAGGCTTATAGCAGTGAAGTTTTGTCACGGAAATCTTTCAAACCATCAAATACGAAAAATACTATTAAACGGCATTTTCTGGTGATAAATACAAATACGAACAAAATAGCTAGCACGCATGCAAAAGCAAATTCCCTATTTGCCAAAGGTTACAAAAGTAAAGTAACTAATGCAAAATTAAGAACCAGCTTGTTAAAGACAAGTTTCCATTCCTACTATGGGATGTCCTAACCCACACATTCTGCCAAGAGATGGCCTAATAATCTACCATCTCTAAGTTTCAAGGTCAAACAATATATACCTGACTAAGAAAACTTCTAACCTTTCATGGTTTACAAGGATTTTCACGTTAAATCAGAGATAACCTAGTTCACTGTAATGGGTTTGGCTCTGAACAAAACTAAAGAATCAACACCTATTTCCCACTGACCTAGAGGAATCATATTTATAAAATACTAAAGGCCTGGTGCATGAAAATTTGTAAACTGGGGGGGGGGGGGGGGGGGGGGCCCTCAGCCAGGCCTGCCCCCTCTCACAGTCCGGGAGCCCTCAGGGGATGTCCTACTAATGGCTTAGGCCCACTCCCCGCTCCTGCTCTGTAGGAGGCAACCAGGCTGATCAGGGGAAGGCGCTGTCCCCATAACCCCGCTGCTGCTGCCACTGCTGGCCACGGCAGCTGTCTGAGCCCACAGCTGCCTGAGCCCCTGGCTGCCTGAGCCCACGGCTACCATGAGCCCTCGGCCTCACAGCCGCCGGGGCTCATGGCTGCCATAACCCCTGGGCCTCGCAGCCGCTGTGGCTTTGTCCGAACAGATGTCAAGATGTTCACCCTATTAAGCATATTATCCTCTTATTAGTATAGATGATTAAAAGCAGTGGCTTTTAAGCTGTTTATGACCATATCCCTAGAGACCGGCTAACCCACTGCAGCCCGTGGGTCCTGGAGGAGATACAGCTGCTTGTTTATCTCTGTCAGGGGCTCTCGAGCTTCAGCATGCATGGGCCCTCTAGTTTCTGACTGGCAAGTCTGGGTGGAACCTGAGAACTGGCAGTTCAAACAGGTTTCCACGTGATGCTAATCTACACTACAAAATTAGTATCTAAGAAAGATATTCCTTCAAAGAGAAAAGGGGTTCCACTACTAAGAGCAAAATTTTATAAACCTCCAGGCAGAAATTAAATAATTAAATGATGGACTAGCTGAATCGAGATTAGAGGTGGAATAAGAAGACAGAAATGTTAGAGAGAAATATCAAAAGCAAACGTGAAGTGTCACTTTAATATTCTTGGTGAAGCAGACAACTTTAGAAGTAGTCAGGTAAAATATTTTTTAAATCAACAATTTAGTTAACCTACAGAATCTCGGGATTCCACAGTAGGTCCCCCCAAATTTCAAGGTAAATATGCTAAAAATAGTACATTAAATCAGGACTAATATGAATTTCTAGATTATTCTCCTAATTCCACAATTACAACTTATTAGGGTTGTATAGGAAGAAAATATAAATACCTACAATGGTTAAGATCTGAAAATTGCCAAATTAAACCAAAACAGAGGGAGTAAATCCTAATTGGGTGGAAGTAGGGGGAAAATGTACATCAATTTCTTTGCATCTCAAAAAAGATTATATGGAATACCTTAAAAATCCAAAGCCATGGTGCTCACTAATGACAATATTACAGACACTTTATAATCTTTCTACTGTGACTAAATCAACCATCTTCTCTTCCACTCCTGACAGAGATGCATTTTTGCCTAATCAAATATTGACTGTAGTTTATTAGAAATATCCTGTAACAGCTCAAATTGAGAAACTATTTTGATATGAAGCACACAAATCTTTGGCTTGACAATTCATTAGAAGCGGTCATACACCTACCAAGATATATACAACCAAAGCCACCTTGGCCAATGGGTAATCCTAGTTTCCATTCCTTTTTTGCCAAGTCGGTGATTACCTCCCCAGCTGCAAATTGTTCTGCAAGACGTCTCTTTGCAGGGCCCTGTCTTCCAGCTTGAGCTGCTTTTACACGAGGCATTTTCACTAAAATATAAAACAAAGCAACACTGAGAATTATAATCCCAGAAGTGTTCAAAACATTTCCCACTAAGGAAAGCTTCTGTGCAATACAGGTACTATTCAAATTCTTACTAACTCTAAAATTTAAAGGACATCTGTTCTAATTTATAATCCTCTTGGATTATCTCTTAATTTTGGAGAGAAAACAATAAATAAAATGAGCTATGCACTCTGGCCGGTTTGGCTCAGTGGATGGAGTGTCAGCCTGCAGACCAAAGATTCCAGGGTTTAATTCTAGTCAAGGGCACGGAACTTGGTTGCAGACTCCTCCCTGGCCCTGGCCCTGGCCCTGGCCCTGGACAGGGCTCTTGCAGGATGCGACCTACTGATGTGTTTCCCTCACATACATGTTTCTCTCTGTCTTTCCCTCTCCCTTCCACTCTCCCTAAAAAACAATGGGAAAATATCCTCAGGTGAGGATTAACAACAACAACAAAAAAAACCCTATGCAATTACTTTCAAGAAAATATTTAGTTTAAAGTTCCAGTGATCTAATATCTATCACTAAAAATGCTATTTAACACACAAAAATATGCTCTATGAAGTTGAGGGAAAAGGTGCATCCAATTAGTACGCACACTTTATCATAATGCAGTAAGTTTATAAAGGTCAATACCAATGTGGTAAGAGCACAGTACAGAGATTGAAAACACAAGACAATTAACACAAGGGGAAAGGGAACGATTTTTCTGTACTTAAAAAAAAATAAAGATCAAAATGAAAGGTCACACCACACCCTTAACAAAATTCAACCCAGGATAACCAACACTAAAACACAACTTAATAACATTACTGAACTTAATAGTAAAAGAAAATATTCTCTGAGCACCCAGGCCAAAAAAAAAGGATATTTTATGTGAAAAATAAAATCAGATTGTCATCACTGACAGCAACACTTTATGCCAGGGGGAAAAAAGTAACGTATTTAAGACTTGAAGATAGAAAACATAGCCAAAGATTTTATACTCAGTTAAATTTCAACTATAAAGACTTAAAAGTGTTATCAAAATGGAAAAAGGGAGTCAGAACTTACTACAGAACAAGCATCACATATCCAAAATGACTAACGTAAGAACTGACAGTGAGCAGTAAATAGATATTTACTTGTAGAACCAACAAAGGCAATAAAGGAAAGAATAGAATACATAATGGCTATATGTCTGACAATTCAGATATAGTACAACTATGAAAAATCAAGAGAACATATGCAAAAAAGTAATTATCCAGTAATCATATTGTGGTGATACTTGCTTTTGTTAACTAAGGCTATTGTATGCACAAATGTGGAATAATGCAAATGAGTAATTATGTGATATTTGAATTCTATCATCCCTTTGGATCCTTAAAAATCAGGATTCAAAAATGGAAGAAAGGATACAGATGAAAGACCAAAAAGTAAGGTTGAAATGCTGTGTATCTGAAAATATTCTTAATTCAGAAGGTATCTTCTTTTTTACAAAAACCATACACACACCCCTTTGTATTTCCTCACCCCATTCACAAAAAAGCTTGGAAACAAACCCAGTAGCAATGAGCATCCCTGGTACATAAATTGTATTCTTGGAATACCACTTCTTATTCAAAGAAACCAGACTGAAGAAAGGACTGACTCCAGGTCTGAAGCTGTACATGCACAAGATAGACTTGGAACACCTGTAGTTTCTAGACGTCAAGGAAGCTATCAAAAACTACTAGCGCTACGTCAAATACATCTAAGGAGTCAGCTTGAAAGATGTTTCCACTGACCAAAGATGAGCCAATCTGCGTCAGTAAAGGTAACACCACAATGGCTGAAGACATACAAAATGGGTAAATCCAGGAGTTTATAACAGTAAGAAACCCTAAGCGGTCACCTCTAAAGGATAATATAAAACCACTCAATTTTGAAAAGTGATAAATATAAATTGTACCACTGGGTAATCCACAGAAGATGAGAAATTTCTTTTTACAGAAAAATTTCCGCTAAAAAATGACCAAGAATGGTTTAAGTTAACACCATTCCTCCCTCCTAATGAATTAATGGATCTACACATTGAGCCTTGACAACCACAAGCATCAAAATATAACAGATATCCAGGCATTATATGCCTCCTGATAAAAGAACACAATGCTACCCATGAAGCAATCTTGCCAAAAACTAATTAAAAATAAATAAAAAATAAACCCTGAATCTGATCAAGCCTACCTATTCTCAAGCTATGAAGAGAACAGAATAACATGATAAACCATAACACAGAAAAGCAATCTGCACAACCCTAACTGTGGAAATCTTACAATACACAGAATCCCATTTCTTCACTAAAGGAAAAAGAGAAGAGATGCAGGAAAAAAAAAAAAAAAACCTACATTTTAAAAGGCTTAAAAATAACATGCAAAACAAAATTAAATCAGGCAAACTAAGCTACAGTGTTTAGGGATGCACATTTGAGTGATAAGACTATAAAGAAAAGGAAACGACTACCATAAAAGATAGACGTTACACTGGAAAAGTATAAGAAAGTTGTGAGTAGGATGAGGGGACATAGCTGGCAAAGTTCTATTTCTTGATGTGGGTGGTAATTATAAAAGTATCTTATAATTCATTAAGTCTATATTTGTTTGATAAGGTTTTCTGTATTGGTAGTTTATGGCTATAACATTAAAAAATCGCTGTTCTTATAATTAACAATCATCAAGGGATCAAAACTAGAAATCTTTTCATATTCCATGAGCTTGTCCAATCACACAAACAAAAAAAGGAAGAAAAGACCCCCCCACCGCCACCCCACCCCCAAGTAAAAGCTGTAATTCATTTCCTGTGAACTACGGGTAGCATTTTGCTTTCATTATATTTTTAAAATTACCCCTCTGTATTGCAAATATTCTTCCCAAATTAATTGTCTTTTGATATTGCTAATTTTGAGCTTTTGGATTATACATCATCCTTAGACCTCACCCAGTCAAATTACTTTTTTCAAGTATCTCCCATGTTTTCTTTTAGTTGTGTTATCGTTTCATATTTTGCTGGTAAAATTCTGATCTGTCTACCCTTACAAGGGTCGCGACCCCTTTGGGGGTCAAACGAGCCTTTCACAGGGGTCTCCTAAGAACATCGGAAAACACATATATAATTACATATTGTTTTTGTGATTAATCACTATGCTTTAATTATGTTCAATTTGTAACAACGAAAATACATCCTGCGTATCAGATATTTACATCACGATTCATAACAGTAGCAACATTACAGTTATGAAGTAGCAATGAAAATAATTTTATGATTGGGGTCACCACAACATGAGGAACTGTATTAAAGGGTCGCGGCATAAGGAAGGTTGAGAACCATGGTTTAGAGGCTGGAAATGGTGGCCCATGGATTGGAAATGACTCATGTTTTGTTTGACCTGCATGCACGTTAGTGGACCACATTCTAAAAAGTGGGGGAGAGGAGTCAGATGCCCACATTTATAAATCAGGAGTTTCCACCTTAAGACCGGAGTTGGGGCTTTTCTGAAAAACACGAAATATCTAAGAACACGCAGGAGAGCTGACAGGCTCTAGTCGGCCCTTACTCGTTTTTCAGTCTACACAGTTTTCAATAGCTGGTCGCCTTCACTTACTGACATTATCTGTTTCACCTCTGTAAGCATTTGGGTTTGCACCCTTGGTATAGTTCAATACCAGCTACCGTTTTATAACTGAAGAATCTGAA